TAGAATTTGAAGTGATAAGTACTATATTAGAGTTCTCATATGAGTAATTAGTACTAGTGTGGTGTGTGCTACTTATACGAACGATATAAGTAGTATAAGAAGGGACGTGAAAGAAGAAGTCTCACGGTCAGAAGAGGAAAACGGAAAGCAAATGGAGCAAAAGCAAGAAGTAAATGCAGTACCAACAGGAAGTAAAGGAAGCAACAACAGGAATGGAAGAAGGATGGAGTGTTGGAAGTCACGACTGAAAGATGGTGTGCAAATAGAGTGTTCAATGTAATGTTTTCGTTTTTAACTAACTCAGCGTGTAAATTTGCCTCAGTATTCTCAATTGGTGTCGCTGCCTCTACATAGGATGAAGATCACATGGCCTCGGGAGTTTGAAGACGGAGATGTAAGGAGCTTCTTGAAGAAGTTCGAAGCCGTGGCGAAGCTGGTAGGAGTCAAGGAGCAGAGGGCGAAGGCGGTGGTGTTGGGGACTCTACTAAGAGGCAGGGCGAGAGCGGTGTACGATGGTGTGGGGGACGCTGACTGTGAGGTGATGACGGAAAGGCTGCTGGTGGAGTTCGACAGCCCAGCGGATAGGCAGGACGTACTGCAGAAGTTCCGAGAGGCGAGACTGACGGTGGATGGAGACCCCCTCGTGCTGGCTGTGGAGTTGATAAGATTGCTGCGCTGGGGTCTGCCGAATTTGGATGAGTCGCAAGCACAGCTGCTAGCGCCGCAATTCATTGAAAGTGTGCCTGCAGAGGTTGCCCAACAGTTGAGACTGGTGAACGCCGCACAACCAATGGACGTCACCGAACTGGCAAAAGTAACGAGACAGCTGATGAACCCAACAGTCGCCTCGGTGGCGTGTGAGAGACAGGCGGATGATGTCACGAAGAAGATAGGAGAGTTACAGCGCGAGGTGACAGCGTTACGAATAAAGGGTGGAAGAAATAATAAATGCTATATTTGCGGAGGAACCGGGCATTGGAAGAGGAATTGCCCAACAAAACGAAAACATTACATTGAACACTCCATTTGCACACCATCTTTCAGTCGTGACTTCCAACACTCCATCCTTCTTCCATTCCTGTTGTTGCTTCCTTTACTTCCTGTTGGTACTCCATTTACTTCTTGCTTTTGCTCCATTTGCTTTCCGTTTTCCTCTTCTGACCGTGAGACTTCTTCTTTCACGTCCCTTCTTATACTACTTATATCGTTCATATAAGTAGCACACACCACACTAGGATATAGGTACACTTAAAAAACTTATGCATACCAATGAACAGAAGATATTACAAACAACAACAGATGAAAATATTATTCTTTTTTTCCCGTACTGTTTGGAATCTAATAACTTACAATTCGAAATACATAAGTCAGTTAACTTCAACCTAGAACTTGGCACATATATACATCAGTTCAAGTTGCCATATCACATTAACACACAGAGATACGATTATCAATTCAAATCCCATAGTAGTAGAAGTATTAGCAGTTACGGAGAAGATTAGAGTTCCAATATATTATTCAAGAAGTATAATTCAGTGAGATAAGGTTAGAAAGACAAAGGTGGAGGTGATGAAGAATCCAGACGACTACTAATAACTGAGAGAAGCCAACAAATGGATGCACCTGCGCCATTGCAAACGATATTGAGCCATGTCGTTAAAGGTTTCTCTAACCATCGATTTCTATCGTCTCGTAGAACCCAACTAGGTAGTCTACACTTACTAACATGGCTTAGTTCACTTGTCAGTGACTTCATGGAATTGGTGTCATGTTTTGGTTTGGTCGTCCCTAGCTTTCTTTCAGTCCTTAGGTAACTAAATTTGGACAACAGTTATATAATAATAATAATAATAATAATAATAATAATAATAATAATAATAATAATGACGACAAAGATCACCTTTTTTTCAGGACATCAGTGAATCATCATTATTCACACAATTAACTACATTAATTATTAATGTAAATACAACATTGTATTTCTAATGAAAACAAAAAATTAATTAAAACTAACACTATTCACAAAATTCAAATGAAATGGGTTTTTTGTACAGACCTAGTTGAAATGTTTTCTTTTCTAAGGCGGAGGTAATTATGTATGATACAAACATGGATCGATTTCACAAAGGAGGGGGATATTAATCATTATTAAAAACACCAAGTAGCTGTTTTTTCATTGTTTATTGCAACAAAGACACTAATCGATAACGACTATCAAGTACAACATTTTAAAATAACTAAAAGAAAAAATGACTATTACTGTTACGATGTATCGTTACTAATTTCAAAATGTAATCTAGACAATTGCGAGACGATAGTCACTAATGGGTTAGAGACCTTGAATGAGATGGCTCAGAATCTTTTGCAATGGTGCAGGTGCATCCACTCTTTGTGTTCTCTCTAATTCTAACCTTCTGAATTACTCATCATCTCTATCTTTCTCGAATCATATCTTCGCTCCCTAATCTTCTCTTGATTACTGCTAATACTTCTACTTTCACTATCACTCTTGGATTTGAACTGACAGTTGCGTCTTTGTGCTGATGTGGTATGACAACCTGAACTGATGTACGTACGTACGTACGAAGTTCTGCGTTGTATCTGTTTGTCTGTCTAGACAATTTAGTGTAATGAAAATAAACAGAAACACTATAACCAAGTACATATATATATATATACATTACGAATGGAAAGACAAATAAGATTGTCAAATCAATATTAAATTTTCAATAGAAACATATGCTTACATAATTTTTAAACATTAACAAAGACAGTCAAAACACAATCAAGCAAGGAAAGAGACACAGAGAGAGAGACAGAGAAATAACGATGATTCACTAGAAGAAGAATTAATCATAAACATAAACACCAATTAAAACAAATGAATCACCATTCATTCATTCAGTGTACTTTTCTCCTTTTTCTAATATAATATAATGTGATATGAGTAGGCTTTGATAGTGACTAGGAGTGAAATTTTCAGCTATTTATTTACCGACTACTCATCAGTTAGTTACAAATGTACTCAAACAGCTGAGTTGATGTTTGTTTGCATTGAAACTTGAACACGGTAGCGTTTGCTTTCAAATGCTCAATTCGTTTTAGTCAATTAGCTAGAAAAATTCATATATATCCACTGGTTTATGCAACAAAGTGGATTTTATTTGTAAGTGATGTGTTAAATGTTCCCCCATTGATATGATGGATTGTAATCAATCAATCAATCAATCTCGATTGGCGACCAAACAAAAGATAAATGTACACAAATTCATGTCAAAGTGTGGTGTACGCTACTTATGTTCACATAAGTAGTATATGATGTCAAATGGAAATCAAACGTCCGACAGCAAAAGATAGAGAAGGAAAGAATGAGAACAGAAGGTGATTCGTGTAGGTAACGTAAAGTAAGGAACTGAAATCTGAACAGTTTAAATGAAAGAACACTGAAATCTGAAACAAATAAGGATTAGTTTGCAAATGATGATTTCACGGGAAGGTTTTGTAAATATGCCTGACAACTTTAATATTGGTTTAAATATATTGTTGATGTCCTCACCTGGGTTTTCGTGCACAACAATAGTATTAAAGTTAGGCTTTTTATAAAATAGACGAAATTAACAATAAATGTCAAATAGGCGATACACATATAGTGAGTGCATAACGGGACATACAATAGGCATTGAATGTTTATTCGTATAATAGACCCATCTTGTTCCGAGATAGTCCCGCTAACAGTCGGATTTCTAATACCAGTTTCCTTGATAATCCTGAATATTTGTCTACTATTACCTATTGCTAGTGCCTTTTCCATCTGTTTTGCTTTCACTACTCACCAGTGCTCATGATCATCGCGTAGACCTTTTTACAGTTTGCGCTTAAGCTGCCTCCACTCCTCATCGTGTTCAGAACAAGGCAGGATGAGTTTCCAAGCATGTATCAGTTAAGTAGATGTTACTGAAATCCACTAATTCTCCCTAACCTTTTGACTTGAGTACACAAATTGAAGAGTATGGACAAGGAATATCAAGGACGAGATGTTTACATAATAATATTTAAAAACTGACAGACAGATAGACACAACGCAGAACTTCGTTCATACGTACATCATTTCAGAGTGCCATACCGCATAAGCATAAAGACGCAACTGTCAGTTCAAATGCAATAATAGTAGACATACTAGAAGAATTAGCAATAATAATGAAGATTAGGGAGCGAAGATACGATTCAAGAAGTATGATTCAGTGAGATAAATTTAGGAAGAGATGATAGAGGTGATGGGGAAATCAGAAGATTAGACTTTGAGAGAAAACAAAGAGTGAATACACCTGAGCCATTGCAAACGATTTTGAGCCATGTCGTTCAAGGTCTCTAACCATCGATTATTATCTCCTCATGGACTCCAACCACGTAGTCTACACTTACCAACATAACTCAGTTCAGCTGTCAGAGACTTTGTGCGTTTGTGCCATGTTTTGGTCTGGCCTCCCCTAGCTTTCTTCCAACCTACTCAAACACCACAAAACATAGCTCATCGAGGCAGTTGGTGGTTGAGAATTCGTAACACATGTCCCAACCACCTCAACTGATGGAGTTTCAGTACTTCATCTGTCGACCTGAAATCCTTACTTAGCACCCGTTCGCTAACAACAGCATTGCGTACTCAGTTGCCCAGGATACACGAGCAATGCTTCGGAAACACCTATGATCTAATACTAGTAACCTACAAATATCCTCTACTCTTACTAGCCACATTTCACAGGTATAAAGTAGGACGGAGCTAACTACTGCGCAGTACACTAGTTCTTTGATTAGCAAACGGGTATCTGGCCTGCATCATAGGTGAAGCAAGTTGGCAAAAGCCAATCGAGCTTTCCGTATCCGTGCTAAGATTTCGTCACAAACCATCAGATACGGTCGGGAATATTTAAAAGGCAAACTTCTGTTATGTAATTATTATTATTATTATTATTATTATTATTATTATTAATGCCATTATTTTATCAATTCAAATCACCAAATATCAGCTGAAATGCAAAATTATTCATGAATGAATGAATGAATAAATATATATGTTTTAACATGCATGAATTAACAAGGATACAATTTTTCTAAAATAAAAAAAACAAAATAAAACAAACTTACAGAATCTAAACTTTTCAACTGGAAACCAATTGATCGGTGATTATGATTATAATTATTATTCAAAAACATATTGATACATTTCCATATTAATTGTAAAATTAATGGTAATTTTGTACTGACTAATAAACTTGTACAACATTCAAGAATTAGTGAAATATTCTATTAGGAAAAAAAAGAGAATAACACATAGAGGTTGTATATTATTATAATTTGTCGGTCATTTAGTCAGTTGAAACGTAGAACTTCGTACGTATGTACATAAGTTCATGTTGCCATACCACAACATTAGCACAGAGACGCAAATGTCAAATCAAATCCCATAGTGATAAAGATAGTAGAGGTATTAATGGTAATGAAGAAGACTAGGGTTTGAAGATATTATTGTTCAAGAAGTATAATTCAGTGAGATAAGATTAGAGAGACAAAGGTGGAGGTGCTGACGATTCCAGAAGATTAAGATTTGAGATAGCACAACGAATGGATGCACTTGCGCCATTGCAAACGATTTTGAGCCATGTCGTTCAACGTCTCTAACCATTGGTGACTTTCGTCTGGCGGACCCCAACCAGGTAGTTTACATCTACCAACATGACTCAGTCCACTTGTCAGTGACTTCATTATTATAATTTAAGATAAGATGAGATGAGATGAAATGAAATAATAACTCGTTAGGAGCTTGTTTTGAATTTTTTTTCTTCCATGACTCTTTCAGATGACGTGAATTCATTGAACATAATCACAAACAAATAAGATATTTCACATATTTGAAATCATCAATCAATCATTGTGAGACCATCATTAGGCATGACCAGTGAAGTTCAACCCTATGGGGTGTAGGCAATAACTAACGAAGACAAATGGATGAGGTTGCACAAAATCCCTAGATCAATCAGAGTTAGACATCAACACCGTTCGATGCCGTCCGGCTCAGTAGTACAGAGGTTAGGCCTTCGCACTCAAGACCGAAGGTCCTGGGTTCCAATCCTGCGAGTAGCATCAGTCGTGGATGCCCACTGCTGATGAGCCCGACCGCAGCTGCTACCTTGACGCGGCGGTCGGGCTAGCCTATCGTGATGACCCAACCGAGCTATACTGGCTTGAACATATATTCCTCAAGGTTCTACCATGCCAGACAGGTCGATTGGAGAACGATGAGACTAAAAGCAGCTACTCAAGGTCTGAGGGCGAAGTCGTACTGTTGACTGCAGAGGGGTGTGACAGCAGTAAGGTGTTTCCCTCGGACAACCAGCATCTGCAGCGATGCTGCCTTCTCACAAGGAAGGAAGGGTCAGAAAAGGTCGACCCTAAAAATGTCACACCTCACCCTACCTCACGGATTTCCGTCTCCGGCGGTGTGGGTGCCCACTAAGGGCCTTTAAGAACGGAGCTAATCCTCAAAAAACCCTTCATAAAAAGGCCGTGCGTGACCGGCCTCAAGCAGTTGTCCCTTGGGCTCTGCGGTCACGCACCCAGGTCTCTAAGACCAACACTAATCTATTTTCCTTTTCAGGTTTATCAAGAAACAACCTTCCAAGGTGTGGGCAGCCGGGAAGTGACAACCGCCCTCATACCCGTAACAGCACGCGAGACCAATCTGGTCGAAATCAAATCTTTCCTACACCCCCTAGTACCTCTCTTATCTCCACGACTAACTCTTCTCACATTCATTTATCACAGTGCACAGCTAATGCAGACGATATGAGTTCGCGAAACGTCGTTCCTGGTCTCCTTAAACCCCGCTCTAGAATACATGTTGGAGCATTTAATGTACGGACATTGTGTCAAATAGGGCAACAGGCTTCCTTAGCTAGGACTTTAGAATCTCGTGCCATCGATGTATGCTGCGTCTCGGAAACGCGCATACAGGATCCTAGTAAAATTATTAATCTGACTTCACCTTGCCAAAATAAAGAAGCAGCACGATTTACTCTTCGTGTATCCGGTAGCCTTGATGCTGCTTCCAGGGGTCTTGCTGGCGTAGGCATAGCATTGAGTCGTAGAGCTGAACAATCTCTCCTTGACTGGATCCCAGTAGATAGTCGCTTGTGCGCTGTCCGACTAAATGGGACAGTAAGGACTCGGAAAAATAAGGACACTCGCCGTTGCCTCTTCATCGTATCTGCCTATGCCCCCACTGACTGCAGTTCAGACGAGGTTAAAGATGAGTTTTACAGAAAGCTTTCGGACCTCCTCCAAAAAGCTAGGCGCTCTGATATAGAATTGATGGCTGGTGACTTTAATGCTCTAGTAGGTAGACTAAGTGAAAATGAAAGACACCTAGGTGGATGTTATGTTGTCGCGGCTCAGAGAACAGACAATGGTGACCGTCTGTTGCAAGTATGCTCAGACAACCGCCTATTCTTAGCAAACACTAACTTTAGGCATAAGGAAAAGCATCTGTTGACCTGGCGACCTCCAAAGTCGTCTCAACGTTGGACGCAACTAAATCATATCGCCATCAGCAACCGATGGAGGGGTTCGATAGAGGACTGTCGCTCGTTCTGGGGCACATGCTTAGATTCAGATCATGCCCTAGTGCGAGCGCGTATTTGTTTGAAGCTTACTGGGCGTAGGAAAGACACCGTAAGAAAGCCTCTTAGGGTTTTTCTCAATGATAATAAGGCGAAGAATATATTTCAGGAACAACTAGAAAGACAGTTAGGCGACCATTTAAGCGATTCCCATCCGGAGGCAGGTTGGAATGATATCAAAAAGGCTGTGGAAACAGCAGTGATATCTGCTAGTAAGGTTGACCATAAGGCTAGAATGAAACCGTGGATCTCAGTAGCATTCACCGATCTGATGAATGCCCGAAAACTCATCCCACCTGGCTCTGAACATGATGAAGAACGAAGTCAGCTTAGGCGCAGACTTATAAAAAGCCTACGTAACGATCGCGAACAGTGGTGGGTGGCGAAAGCAAAAGCGATGGAAAAGGCAGCGGCGATCGGCAACAGTAGACAACTTTTCCGACTTATCAAGGAAACTGGTATTAGGAATCCTAGTGTAAGTGAGACTATCTCGGAAAAGGATGGTCTTATTATCCATTTTCAATCCAGGAGATTGGACCGATGGGCAGAACACTTTAGGGATCAGTTCAACTGGCCTCGAGCCACTCTTCAGTTACCCACGATCTCCAGTCATCCTGAATGGCAAATCGACGTAAGTCCCCCTAGTCTTAATGAAGTTGAAAAAGCGTTAGGAAATCTGAAGCGAGGACGAGCTGCAGGTCCTGATAGACTGACCCCTGAGATATTTAAGGATGGTGGTCCAGTTTTAGCAGCTAGGTTGACTGAGATCTTAGGTAGAATCTGGGAACTGGACGCAATCCCATCCGACTGGTCTCAATCCTTGATCGTCCCAATCTATAAGAAAGGACAAAAGTCTTCTTGTGACAATCACAGGGGAATAAGTCTAACTAATATAGATTCTAAAATATTGGCCTCAGTAATACTTCGACGCTTAACGAAAGCTCGTGAAGAGCAAACTCGAGAAAACCAATCTGGTTTTCGACCTGGACGTGGTTGTATAGACCACATTTTCACACTACGACAGGTCCTGGAACACAGACACACATTTAGGCGTCCTACAATAGTTGTTTTCCTGGACCTAAAAGCGGCATTTGACTCAGTGGATCGTGAGGTTCTGTGGCAGTGTCTGTCATTGAAAGGTGTACCAATAAAGTACATTAACCTTATACAAGCTCTCTACTCAAACACCACTGGTCGAGTGAGAGCTTATGGCGAACTGTCACCGGAATTCTCTACTTCAAGTGGTGTCCGTCAGGGATGTCCACTTTCTCCATTCTTGTTTAATTTTATCATAGACATGCTCCTAGAAATAACCTTATCCTCGTCTGAATTTTCAGGAGTAGACCTTTTACCAGGTGGCTCGCTTATTGACTTAGAATATGCCGATGACATAGTCCTACTTGGTGAAGAAGCTGACAAAATGCAGAGTCTTCTGACTACCCTAAGCAACAATGCAAGCATGTTCGGGATGCGGTTTTCCCCCTCGAAATGCAAAATGTTGCTTCAGGATTGGGTTTCATCGGCACCTGAACTAGTGATAGGGAGTGAAGTAGTCGAACGTGTTGACCGCCTCACTTATCTGGGGAGTCTCATCAGTGCTGATGGCCTGGTGACTGACGAAATCTCAGCGCGGAAACAGAAGGCTCGATTGGCTTTTGCCAACCTGCGTCACTTATGGCGTAGGCGAGATATCCGTTTGCTGACTAAAGGACGAGTGTACTGCGCAGTGGTTCGCTCCGTTCTCCTATATGGCTGTGAAACATGGCCAGTGAGAGTAGAAGATATTCGTAGGTTACTGGTTTTCGATCATAGGTGTCTTCGAAGCATTGCTCGTATATCGTGGGACACCCGAGTGAGCGACGCTGTTATTAGGAATCAGGTGCTATGTAAGAATGGCAGATCAGTAGATGAAGTAATGAAACTTCATCAGTTGAGGTGGTTGGGACATGTGTTGCGTATGCCTAACCACCGACTGCCTCGACGAACTTTGTTTTGTAGTGTAGGAGTAGGTTGGAAGAAAGTTAGAGCTGGCCAGATCAAAACATGGCAGAAATCCATGAAGTCATTGACTAGTGGACTGAGCCATGTCGGTAATTGTCGACTACCTGGTTGGGGTCCGCGAGATGATAATAATCGATGGTTAGAGACCTTGAATTACATGGCTCAAAATCGTTCGCAATGGCGCAGGTGCATTTATTCTTTGTGTTCTCTCGAATCCTAATCTTCTAGAGTCTTCAACACCTCTAGTTTTGACTTTCTAAACTTTTCTCATTTAATCAACTTCTTGAATAATATCTTCTGATCCTAACCTCTCCGATTACCTCTTATACCCTTACTAACTCTTCTACTATTGGATTTGAATTGACAATTACATCTCTGTGCTGATGTGGTATGGCGACATGAACTGATGTACTTACGTACGAAGTTCTACGTTGCAACTGACTGACTGACTGACTGCTGATGAGTCCCATACTATAGGACAAAACGGTCGTCTTTCAGTGCTTCAAGGTTTCTAATGGCGGTAGTCTAACAATGATTGATTGATGGTTTCAAATGTGTAAAAACAATGATCTCCACAACTCTACTTGAGAATAAAATATTACAATATCATTTACAACACCAAACTGAACTTCACGACAATGTATTTGTGTTTCAGCTTTAATATTCAAACACAAATGACATTAAAATCATGAATCGATCAATGTTAGACCATCATTAGAAACCTGGGAGCGCTGAAAGACGGCTGTTTCGTCCTAAAATGTGACTCATCATCAACGTCCTATCAGGAAGGTCCGAGTTCCGAATCATGCAGGGGTGCAGGAGTCGTGGATGTGCTCTGTTGATGAGTCTCATAACAGGACGAAACGGCTGCCCAGTGCTTACAGGTTTCTATTGGATGGTCTAACATTGATCGATTCGTGATTTCCAATGTGTAACTTAACAATCTCTACAACCCCATAATATAAAGTAGTACTGCTGACTGCAGAGGGGTGTGAAAGCAGTACGGTGTTTTCCCTCGGACAACCAGCATCTGCAGCGATGCTGCCTTCTCACAAGGAGGGGAGGGTTAGAAAAGGTCGACCCTAAAAATGTCACACTTCACCCTACCTCACGGATTTCCGTCTCCGTCGGTAAGGGTTCCCACTAAGGGCTTTTAAGAGCGGAACTACTACCCAAAAAACTTTTCATATGAAGGCCTTGCGTGACCGGCCTCAAGCAGTTGTCTCTTGGACTCTGCGGTCCCGCTCCAAGGTCTTCAAGACCAACACTAATCTACCTTCTTTTTCAGGATCCTCAAGAAACACCCAACCACGGTGTGGACAGCCGGGAAATGACATTCCCCCTCATACCTGTAACAGCACGCGAGACCAAAAATTGGTCAAAATCAAAAGAAACATTCATCTATACACTATTTTCCACTTTTCTCACGAAGACCTGTAAAACAAAACAATCTTACCTCATTAATAAGTTTCAATTCTTCAATTAGAGTGAATTTTATGAGATTACCATGTAATAAATTCAATAGATAAGGCCAATGCGGTTGATTGTTATAATTATTAGTAGTATGATTATCATGCATGAATAATTCTTCAATATTCAATTGATTAAAATAATTTTGGCATAGTTTTTCTATTCGATTAAATAATTCAATAGTTGATGAATTCTTCATCATAAAACTATTATTATTATTATCATGAAGATTTTCTGTTAAATAATGCAATTCATTTAATAAGCATTGTGTAGTCGTTGGATTCAATGTTAAACGGAACAAACAATCAATTAATTTTGATTTCAATAAACTATTTTCACATTGATTATCATTTTCATCATGATTATTGTTGACTGTTGATGCTGGTGCTGGTGCAGTTGCTGCTGCTGGTCGTGATTCATTGGTTTTTGGCATGGATTGATAGTGATGATCATCAGCAGCAGCAGTAGAAGTGGATGTTAAAAGTCCAATTTTATGCAAATCATGAACAAACTTTGATTGTCTAGCAGAAAATAAGTGGAGAAGAAAAATAAATCTATACAGAACAAGATAGATAAGTAATATTTTTTTAACACTTTGAAACCATCAATCAATCATTGTCAGACTACCGCCATTAGAAACCTAGAAGCACTGAATGACGGCTGTTTCGTCCTATAGTATGGGACTCATCAGCAGTTGGGCATCCACGACTCCTGCTACTCGCAGGATTGGAACCCAGGACCTTCGGTCTTGAGTGCGAAACGCCTAACCTCTGTACCACTGAGTCGGCCGGCATCGAACGGTGTTGATGTCTAACTCTGATCGATCTACGGATTTTGATAATATCACGTGATTTTATTGTTAGGATGAAGTATGGGAACAAGAAAAATTTCAGATCCAATTTCAATTGTTATATTACTGGATGCTTGAATATTGAATCCAGTCGATAATTTTACCATTCTATCATTCAGTGATGAGACTTCACCTTTTGATTTTTAGTAATTTTTTTTATAAAAATTAATAATTGGCACAGGTTTTACTAAAATTTAAATACGTTTCACAACTATATAAATTCACCCTCAATTGGCAACGGTCATTTGACATTGATTTTCAGGAGAACCAAACACTGCCCAAGTGGTAACTCTATAAAAACGTGGACACTACAGCTAGATCCTATGGCGCAAGCACATAAGTACCTGAAACCCTGGTGGACCATTCATTCTATTTATATACACCAATACAATAAATGGTGATTATTTCCCAATCATGATCGCGTCAATCAATATGCACCGCATGAACAGGTCAACTTGACCCATTCCGCTTACGAGAATGTCATACTCATTATTATTAGCAACAGTGATATGCAGCAATACAGCACCCTAATGACAATGGTCCTCGGGAATGTTGCAAGACAACTACCGATAGTATCAATGAAATCGGTCATCCTGTAAACCGAATTTGTATATGGACTGTTAGCGAAACATACCCAAAGTAATGCCAAACCATCCACAGAGTTCATCATAACAAACCTCTGGTTTCATGGAATGCTTTCAGCTCTATATATAGCAATATAGCTTATAGTATGTACATCGTATGGTATAGGATACCAACAGATACAGCCAAACTTGACGCAAATAGGCTTAAACACTCTTATACTACCATTTGTCGCAATACTCGAAATTTTTCATTTTTCAACTGTATGAAGATCTGAGTTAGGAGGAAGTATCCGTAAAATTTAAATAAGATTCAAGTAAAATAAAATCATAGATGGCCGTGTAATTTTAGATCTATATGATGAAAAAACGGAACAATTGTTTATCCATGCAAAAAAAAGAGCACTCTGTTGATTATTGATATGAAATATGGATAAAATACAGCAGATATAGTAGGGGAGTGTCTAGAACATACATTTTGTACTCTATTTGGGATTGATTAGCTGGATATAACTACATACCGGAGTTGATATTCACTGTATTCCTTTGTCTCACACAGTGATAAAGGTACATGCCAAATAGGACAAAATGCACGTCATGGAGGAGGAATTTATTGCCAGCTACATTTCATCTAATCTATATCAACTTGTGTCATTATAATATATAGTTATATCAAGGCAATCCGTATTGGATGCCTATATGCATTAATCAAGACAGATTGAATGTCATATTCATAAAAATATCAACAATTGGATAGTCCAAACCATTCCATATTGAATTCAATGTCTTTTTGTTTCCTCAAACAGTGATGCATTGTTTTAACATATACACATGTTAGACAATTCAGCAGATGTGAAGGCGCTGATTGGTAAACAGAGGGCAGCATTTTTACAATTGAACAACATCTGGAAATCGAAACAACTATCAACAAACACCAAAGTCAGAATTTTCAACACAAATGTCACGACAGTCCTACTGTGTGGGTTGGAAACTTGGAGAACCACGAAGGCGATCATCTGGAATATACAAATGTTTATTAACAGCTGTCTACGCAAGATACTTCGTATCCGCTGGCCAGACACCATCAGTGAAAACTTACTGTGGGAGAGAACAAACCAGATTCCAGTGAAGGAGGGAATCAGGAAGAAGCGGTGGAAGTGGATAGGACACACACTGAGAAAAGCACCGAACTGCGTCACAAGACAAGCCCACACTTGGAATCCTCAAGGTCAAAGGAAAAGAGGAAGACAAAGGAACACATTACGCTGATTAATGGAGACAGACATGAGAAAGATGAACAACAATTGGACAGCATTACCAAGGAAGGCCTAGGACAGAGTACGTTGAAGAATGCTGATCGATGGCCCAAGCTCCACTAGGGGTAACAGGTGTAAGTAATTTAGACAAGAAAAACAACAACAAATTTTTAAAAAAAAAGAGATTCTTCTCACTTTCTATTCACTGAATCAGTATCATTATCCGTTTTTTCCAATGAACTGATTGATATGGAAGTTTGTTGGTGGTGTTGTTGTTTTAATAAATTCTTTAATAATTGTTTATATACATTAAACCATAATTCTGGTAATTGATTTGAATAAATATGAAAAAATTCTTCTGAATTAGTACAAATTCGTTCAGCTTTCATAGATAAATTAGCTAAATAACATGTTTTAAATATTTGATCATTGAATATACTCTCCAATGATGATGATGAAGATGATGAGATGAAGATGATGGCGGGATTAATTTTTTCATCCCATTGTTATTATTATTATCGCCATGTTGTTGATGATGATGATGATGCATAGAAAAAGAAGGTGATTGATAGGCAAATTGCCAACCAATTGGATAAATTGTAATAAATTGACCATTGAATAATAAATTATCATCATCATGATTATCTTCAATATTGAACAATTGTTTTAATGATAAATTTGAAACTAATTTAACTAATTCAACTAAATAATTTGCTGCTTGATTAGCTAATTGTTTACATGTAGTTAAATTTTGTGGGCAACAAATGGGAACTATGAAAAATCAATAAATAAACAAACAAACGAAAAAGATTAATTTTAAGCTGAAATAGTTATTGTACATTACTACTTTTTAATATATCAATCAGTCAGTTAGTCAGCTACAACATAGAACTTCGTACGAACGTACGTATATAAGTTCAGTTCAAATTGCCAAACCACGTTAGCACACACACACACACAGATGAAATTACCACCTTTTAAATCGCATAGTGGTAAAAAATAGTGGAAGTTCGAAGATATTATTCAAGAAGTATAATTCAGTGAGTCAGTCAGTCAGTCAGTTAGTTGCAACGTAGAACTTCGTACGTACATACATCAGCTGAGGTTGCCAGACCACCACATTAGCACACAGAGATTCAAATGTCCATTCAAATCCCAGAGTGATAGACATAGTAGAAGTATAAGCAATAAATTAAAAGGTGTGTATGCAGATTGATCGAGTAGGTTAGAAGAAAGCTAAGGGGGGGGCAAGACCAAAACATGACAGAAATCCATGAAGTCACTAACAAGTGGACTGAGTCATCTTGACAGATGTAGACTACCTGGTTCGGGCCCGCGATGGTTAGAGAAACCTTGAACGACATGGCTCAAAGTCGTTTGGAATGGAGCAGGTGCATCCACTCTTTGTGTGTTCTCTCAAAGTCTAATCTTCTGAATTTCTCATCACCTCTATCTTCTCTGTTTAAGTATATTTCACTAAATTATACTTCTTGAATAATATCTTCGAAACCTAATCTCTCCAATTATTGCTAATACTTTTACTACATCTACTGACTGACTGACTGCGCTGAACTGATCTAAATTACAATATTATTATCAGAAAATAGAGATGAATACTCAAGTATTAATAGTAGTGTCAGTGGTACTAAACAAAATACTCAAAGACAGTATGATTCAAGATTCATGACTAGAGGGAAGTGAGCGCTTTAACGCTAGTAGCCACCATTTTGAAGCATATTATCCAATATCTGTAACCACTGGTTATGATAGTAGAGTGGACCCTAACTAGATATTCCATATATACTTACGTGGATCAGCGCTAAAGTCACTGAAGTCATAGACTGATATCATATCTAGGTTTGACCATCTCTAGATTTCTTCTGGTCTATTCTTGTACTAGAGAACGTTTTATGCCCTAGGAGGTAGTTATTAGGGTGGGGAAACATGAAACGAGTCTCAACCACCTCGATCTACCTCAAATATTTACCTATTAACTTGTTCCTAACCTGAGCATTGTTCACTTGATTGTTCCTGAACACACAATCAATGGTTTGAAGACATTTGTGATCACAAAACCTTTTATAATTTGAGGCTATGCTTCACAGTTATAAATTAAAGCACAACAAACTGCTTCATTGTCTATCCACTACATACAGTCTTAATGATTATCGAACATAATGGTTTAAATGTCAACCCCCGAAGTGAACATAATTAAATAGTTCTACATCAGGAGCAAACAGCCATTCAATTCCTCTAGAGAATTGTATACTGCTTTGAATTATATTAACTCGTGATACCAACCAACTATTTCTCATACTAAATAAAAATTTCACCAAAAACTAACCAGATAAACATAATATTGTTTGAATGAGAGAGATTTTCAAATATATATATATATATAAGCAAAGACGACAACTTACATAAATGATTTGATTTTTGTTCTGTTATTTTTCTTTGTGGTTTTACAGGTGCTTGTTCTTGTTGTTGTTGTTGTTTTTCACACTGAGAAATTATTGATGGCTTTATGTCGGCGGGTTGAACACTTGACAAGTCTTGTTTATTACTACTACTATTACAAGTAATGTTATTATTATTATTATTACTAGTGTGGTTGTTGATGAATAACGAGATTTCAGTATCACAACCATTAATTTGAGAATTATTTGGCTGTTGTTGTTGATGTTCGTGTCGGTCATCGCGATTACCATTATAATGTTGAAATGTAGTAGTAGGATTCTCTTCCACTGACATAGTACGTGTTACTAGAGTCGGTGGATCCGATGTACTACTACTATCTGTAGTGGAGAATAAATTTTCTTTGGAATTATCAAAATGTGTTGATGTAGCCATTGTATGCAATGATTTTGTTGTTGTAGATTTAGTTTGTTGTAGATTTTGTTTTAATGCAGATATTTCTAATTCAGCTAATTGCATACTATGACGTAATTCATTGATTTGTTTATGTAATGCTGTTTCACGATTTGTAGCAGCTAATTCAAATTCACGTTTTTTCATACGTAATGTTTCGATGATACGAAGAAGTTCAGTTTCTCTAAGCTAAATTGGTTGAAAAACAAAACATAAGGCTTTATGGATTTTTCTTGTATTTGTCTACTACTATAATACTTCAAATCAATCTAAACTCGTTACAGCTCTACTTACAAGTAGTCGTCAATCAGTTGCAACGAAGAACTTTATACGCACATACATCAGTTCGAGTTGCCATATCACATTGGCAAACAGAAGCAATTATCATAGTGGTAGATGTGTGGTGAGTGCTACTTATACGAACGATATAAGTAGTATGAGAAGGGACGTGAAAGATGTCTCACGGTCAGAAGAGGAAAACGAAAACATTACATTGAACACTATTTGCACACCATCTTTGAGTCCTGACTTCCGACGCTCCAGCCTTCTTCCATTCCTTCCTGTTGGTAATACTCCATTTACTTCTTGCTTTTGCTCCATTTGCTTTTTCGTTTTCCTCTTTTGACCGTGCGATTTCTTCTTTCACGTCCCTTCTTATACTACTTATATCGTTCGTATAAGTAGCACACACCACAGATGTAGTAGAAGTAATAGCGGTAATGGAGAAGATTAGGGTTCGAACAAATTATTGAGGAAGTATAATCTAGTGAAATAAATTTAGAAATAGAAAGATAGAGGTGATGAGGAATTCAGAAGATTCACACTAAAGACAGATGATTTATGAATTAGCTTCTCCCTTTTCAAAATACAATCCGATTCGATTTTTATCATGAAGCGCATGATCAAAATATCTGTCTTCATTATAAACTTCTAGTTAGACTCTTTGATCACGGTGCGGAAAATTTAAGGAAAACTAATGATCAAGAATGTAGTAAAAAAACAACGAGTAATCAAGTGGGAGAATCAATTTTTTTTCAGGTATAGGGTTGCGAAGATTGTTGAATTTTAATGAAATCATGAACCGATCAATGTTAAATAACTATTGGAATCCTGGATGGCGGTTTCGTTCTAGCATATTCCTATATTGTAAATTTTGGTACAAAAATGCACTTAAATATTTATGCGCCACACATATCATTGAATTAGTGAGTCGGATGGGATAATCCCAATACGCCTAAACCGAAGCAAGTGATTTGCTTAGCGGGTCACTCCACAAGCCTTTTTATACACAGATCTACTCTCAAACCAAGTCAAGAAACGTTACGAAATGTAATCCAATGGAGGCCGGTCAACAACAATAGGTTCACACATTATTTGATCCCCAAGGATCATACACTTCATGTGCAGCATTCGTTTCAAATCACAGTTTTTCAACTTCTCTAGGTCAATTCTCCAAACTCACAAACGCGGTTTATGTGCTAGATATTTGATTTCCATCCTCTCCATTTCGCAAAACAATACCCCTGTCACGAGAAGGCAGTGAGTGGGACTTCTCTCATAATGGTTATGTATACTTTGTTGTTTTAGAGCGTTTCGAGAGGGAGTAGACTCTTCCCACTTTCGACCGTACCAGGGTAATGAACACAGACATCAAGATCATATGGAGTAGTGATATGTCCAAAGAATAGTCACGTTGCGATTACTATCCACAACACAAGAACACTAGGCGGTAGAGTTATATTATTCAACATTACACATGAGAACATTCATAACAGTCATAAATCTGTGAATTTTATTTTCTTTCATTTTATCTTGAATCTGATTATTGACATCCTCTCTCTTTAAGTAAAGCAACTCACCTCTCTCTTCCTCATAAACTTATAAAATAACTTGTTATCAAAAATAAATTACAATTTTATAATTATTTAACTGTATTTAATTGTATTGTTTCATTTGTTGTGTTATTTGAAATTCATGACCAATTTTTTCGGTTGTTTGTCTTTCTTAATCAGTTAAGTGGTGTTTATTGTTGTTGATGTGGTTGTAGAGATGTGTACAATTTTAAACTAGCATTTATTATGAAGAATTAAGATTTTCTTTAGGTT